CAAATTTATCTATTCTAAAGTCGAGGAGTAATTGACTGTAGCTTAGCTAAAGTCAAATCTTTGCCACTCAATTTCACGCTATTTACAACAATGCCAACCACATGAGCCTGGATTGGGAGGGTAATTCTCAAAAGTTGAGAGGGTAATTTTGTCCGTATGGTTTAGAACAAATTGCGATTGGTTCGATGCGTGCGCCCTTTCATCTCTCACTCTTCCTATTTTTGTCCTTGTCTATTGGAAAACCCACAATCTTTCATCTTCCTCTGCCTTTCCTCTCTCTCCGCTCCCCATATCTCTCGACATGAAGCACACAAACCAAGTAGCGACGGTCGAAAGCCTCAAACATGGCGGAGGCGAAATGGAGATACAGTGACGGTCAACAATCGCCTCCAGTGTCGATGAATTTGGCCGTCGGAAAGCGTACTCGCTCCAATTATGGTATTTTGAATTTCTCAATTTTCCCTTTATTTGAGTCTTCTCTCTCCTTTTGCGTTTGTTTAGGGTTTATAAATTAGGGTCCTTAGGGATTTTAAGGTTTTCTTGCTTTTTTTTTTTTTCTCTTCAGAAATTGCATTGTATTTCTTAGATCGGAGCTATTCTTACTTTGAAAAAATTGGACTAATATTGATTTTAGGTTTCGACTCTCTGGTAATTACTCTGAACCCCCAAAAGATTTGAAATTTCTGGTAATTGTTCTCATTGTGTTGTGAAGTGTGATGATTATTTCAAAGAACACCGATTCTATCAATTGCAATTCTGCAGATGGCTAATGAAATAACAGCCTGCTTAAGGAAGGAAAAAAAAATCCTAGAAAACACCATCGGATGATGTTTTAATCAATTGAGAAAACTGTAATTACTCACATTTTAACAATTTAAGGTTTCTGAGTTCACTTCTTTGCAGGAAGCTATTAATTCTGCATCATCAGTGACTCAAACCTTAAGCAGAGAAGTGGCTGACAGTCTACGTAAGCTCATAGCTCTTGCAGCTGCACGAGGAAACTCAAGCGCAATAAATCCTCAAGTCACACAACTCACTAATGGACCTTTGGATGGTCTTCATGAAAAGGTTTGTTTGATCTTAAATATGTGGAATATGTGGATATGTAACTCCAAATGTTCAATTTTATCAAATGAGTGTTGGTTGGTTAGCTATTTGAATCATGAAAAGCAATTTATTTTAGTTGAGCAAACATTATGCATGGACTTGGAACTTCTTCCTTTGAATTGTAGTTGGAAGGGTGTATGATAAATTTAGTGGGATTTGAGCATAAGCTGGTTGCCAGCCCAATACAACTGATTGCATCCCGCAAGATTAATTTATCCACATTGGTGAATTTCTAATTACACAATTCTACTGCATTTTTTGTTCAAATTTAAATTTAAATATAAATTTTAAAATTTTGGTTTTGATTATGCAGTTCATGGATTCCGTGCTGCTGCGGTATATTTAAATGTTGTTGTCCTCCACTGTTTGAGCCTGGGCCTCCTCCACCACAATAGTGGTGTATTTTCTTAGGAACCTACTCTGCATGAATTATTTTGTGTAATTGGTTGACTTCTATTTTTATTTGATCTAACTATTTCAACTTGGCTAATTTGTTTTTTAATGTTTTATTATATTGGAGTTGAATTTGGTATTTTGGGTATGCTATCTTCAGAGGCTTAGAAAGATAGTAATTTACTTTTGTCTTTGATTTTTCACTAATGGGATGTTGTGATGGGGTTTAGTAATTTTCAGTATTCTTCAATTATTTTGAATTTGCAAAATCAAATAACTCATGGAAATAAATTAATATTTCATTAATCTGTATGTAAGAGGACTTTACAATATGTCATCAAGTTTAGACCAACAACAATGAATGGCAAATTTAGGATTAATGCCTCTATTAATTTGATGTTTTCTCATGGTCGAGAAATATATACAACTGTCTTATTTATTGGACAACATCATTCATCCTCTATATATAATATTAATTGCTTTTCTTAATCTATTTTTCCGTCAATCTTTTCTGTTACATAATCTCATTTGGTTTTCGATTTTGTGAAATGTTTTGGAAGCGAGAGCGTGTGAAATGTGTTGCTGCTGATTATAGTGCCAAATTTGGTGACAATCCTCAACTAGCAGAGCAGGTAACAGAGCTTCTTCCAACTCAAATTTAATGATTCAAGCTGCCTAAGATTTGCATAACATTCCTAAGTTGTAGTCGATGTGCCTGAGTGGTTGAGTGCTTGACTAATGAATGTAACCACTAAGATTTGGATTTTTTTTGGGGGGTAAGAAATAACATTGCTAATTTCGGATTTATGGGCTTGAATTTTTGTTGAGTATGTGATTTTGTGTGTATTGATTGACTGATGAAAAAATGTAGCCATAAAATATTGATTTTGACAATTTTGATTCTGAGATTGCCTCTTTATATAATGTACAATTTTTGTAGTTGCCTTCAATGTTATTGTCATTGGCTTAGGTGCTCAAAAGATCTATACAATGTCGTTTTGCCAATAATGTAGGTATTGGGTTAAATATCATAAAAGTGAACATATGTAACTATAGATCTGCAAATGTTTGGTAGATAGAGCAATTTGGGAATTTGTTACCAAAACATTGATGGATAACATGTATATCATTTTCTGTACTTGAATGTTGAATGTTGAATGCCTTATCATTTTGGTTTTTAACATGCCATTGTTTATCTATATCCAAAATGAGTCTAAATTTTTCAAATAAATGTTTCTTTCTGATTTGAGAAACTGTAATTCACTTTTTATTGATCTTTTCTTATATATTTGATTTACAGAGCTCTTGGGTTGTCAATTGTGACTGGAAATTCTACTCCTCACATGGATCATAGGTAAAAAACACTATTTTCTTTTCTTATTACTTTTCCTTCAAATGTGTTTTATTCTGAGATTGTCTCTTTATATGTTGTAAATTTCCAGCACTTATGCAAACTTCAGAGCATATAGGAAAGCAAATGTTTTCCATTTTAGGTGCAAAGAACCAAATATGTTATCTATGTCTTCTATGAAATGCTTCAGTGTTATTGCTTTCAATTGTTTAGTGATGCTTGGATGCTTAAAAATATTCTTCATTTTGTCTTTTTGAACCTGAACGTATAATCAAATTGGAATAGATTCTATTTTTTTTTTAGTTCATTTTGCGTATCAGTTTATCTTATTTCTTTGAACCAAATGCAAATTCCGATCTTGCATTGTTAAGCCCTGGAATTGGAACAAAAAAATTTGCAGTTTTCTCTGATTGATTTCTGAATAATTTAGAAGTAGATATGTTAAATTGTGGGTTACGATTTCAAAACCCGTGGCGGAGCGCAAGCATTTTTTCTAGTATGAAACCTATTTTGCACAACCATTAACAAATTGTTTGCACCTTTACGCAATCTCCATTAGAAAATACACAAGTTTCTCAACCAAGCAAATTGGCATCATAATATCCAAATGGTGCAAATTAGCCTTTTCTCATTTTTTTGTTTTCTTTTAAAAAAACACCAAGAAGTAGGTGTCACTTTACCTATCCAAACATCAAATGCCCCTTTCTTTCTTTTTATTTTGCAAAACGGCCAAAGTACCTAGATTCTTCTTTTCTATAAGAAGCTTGCTAAGGACCAACTACCACACCAACTAACTTAACTAATATTATTAGGGTGATTTTTAGTCATCACCCTCAAGTGGTGGTAATGCTTACGACTTTATTTATAACCGTTGCATGTGTTTAAATTTTTGAGATTTGCTAGTTTAATAGAAACTCTTTCATGCCACTTAGTATTACGGTCTAGTTGTATTCTCTTCTCTTGTAAGTAATAGGTTTTAAGTTCGATTCTCGCCAAAGACGAAATTGAATCACATTATTATTAGCCCATTATGAGGCTAAGCCTATCCCCCTTCCCCTTAGTGTAGATAATATCATTTGCTCGAAAAAGATAAAAATAAAAACTCTTTCATTATCAAGATTGGTAGAATGACTGCTAAAACCATTAGATTAGAATTTAGAATGCATTCGCGAGAATATTGATAGCAACAATGCTAGAAAACCTTTTTTGTCATAGCCCATGGGCTTTAAAGTTGGGGTTAAAATTCTACAAAAAATGGCCATTGGCAAACCCTATTAACCATACCAATCAACTTGAACCCAATTCTCTTTACTTATATGGAGGAGTTCATATAAGTGATAATCAGAGATTAGTCCAATTTCAATAAACATGTCCAGTCAACTTGGTGTTTAGAAGAACATTGATGGGCTTTAGATCATAATGAACTATTGGTGTTTCGCTATGGTTATGAAAATTATTCAGTGCACAATAGCAACACCAATAACAATATCTAGCCTTTGAAGGAGATATTAAGTCTTGGGTGTATTGATCTCTTACCTCTTCAATTACAGGAAGTGGATGCAAATCATGCAACCACTCCTCTAAACTCCTTTGGTGCATCAACTAATAAACTAGAGCCTTGAAATCATCATCGAGAAAACATGCAGATATGACCCTTACAAAATTTTGATGCTTGATATTTCTCAAAGCCTCATATTCGGCTATAAAACTCTTTGAGGCTCCATGACTTAACATGTTAAACACCTTCATATCTACAAGTACAAGCTTTTAGCTCTATTGTCAGTATAAAGAAACCCCTTGTATACAAACTCAAAACTGCCAAGTAGCATATGACACTGGCAAGTAGAGCAAGTTTGAATACTAAAGGGATTATTAATTTCAAGCTATGAATTAATCTTCTTTTCTTGGAGCTCTTTAGACTTGAGATTAGGAATTCCCTTGCAGAATCTAGTGTTGTCAACAATTGAAATAGCACTTTGATTTTCGAAATCACCTTACACTGATGGTGGTCAAGTCTGATAGGAAACTCAACTCACCATCTTTACAGCTTCCAAGATGATTTTATTGAATGTTAAGGGTTAGGTTATGAATCTTTCAAAAATTTGGAATCTGTCAATGTGAATACTCAACAATTTCGTGGCACAAATTGGACTTTTAATCGATGTGAATATTACATAAAAATACCAAGTACAAGAAGTAGCAATACACTCTTCACACAATGAACCTCATTGGTGATTATTTACACTGCATACTTCCACATCTATTGTGGTAACAAAAAAGCTAGACTTCACGGGCAGTACACGAAATTTCTCTATCACAAAAGCACATAAAAAGGAGTTTCTATCCAAGAAAAGTATTCCTAATGGAATGAAGTTCAGATGCAGCATCATTGATATTCTTTAGTCGATCTGTTGCGGATTTTGCAGAACAAGCAATTCCAATTCTAAATATTGAACTCAAGCACACCTCAACTTTATGAATTCTCGCACTGCATTGATTGGGATTCTCGTTCGTGCCTCCTTGAAGAAGTGGTGCGTCTGCAATCTCAGTAACTCGTCCGGGGAGAGCCATCTTGACAAAATTATGAAGGTTCAAGCTATCACCAAACATGTTGTCAGTGGGTCTCTTCCCTGTAAACATCTCCAACAAGAGAATGCCAAAGCTGTATACATCGCCACTCGTTGACACCTCACTCACCATGCCATACTCTACAATTCAAAATCACATTTGTGTATAAATAGTTCAGTTTGAATTTTGTAAATTCAATACTCCATAATAAGAAAGGAAATATAATGAAGTATATATATCTAACATATATATATATATATAGATACCTGGAGCTGCATAACCAACCGTTCCTCTTATTCCAATAGAACTTGTCTGACTCTGGATTGTTGAAACATTACTCGTTACTTGTGAGAGAAACCTTGCTAATCCAAAGTCAGAAACATGGCTAGTCAATTCGTTGTCCAAGAGAACGTTGCTTGGCTTGAGATCACAATGAACTATTGGCGTTTCACAATGATTATGAAGATAATCCAATGCACAAGTAACACCAATGGCAATTTCTAACCTCTGAAGAAGACTTAAATTCTTGGGTACATGATCTCTTAACTCTTTAGTTCCAGTAGGTGGATGCAGCCACTCCTCTAAGCTCCCGTTGTCCATGAACTCATGAACTAGAGCCTTGAAATCATTACCATGAAAATCAACACTTGAACACACAGTTATAATCTTAACGAGATTTCGATGCCTAATATTTCTCAAAGCTTCACATTCGGCTATGAAACTTTTCGAAGCTCCAAGGCGTAACAAGTTAAACACCTTCACAGCAACAAGTTGAGCTTTATCACCATCATCATCAAGAACTCCTTTGTACACAGACCCAAAACTACCAGCACCAATTAAATTAGCCTCTGAGAACCCGTCAGTAGCTTTGAGTAAAGTAGCATATGACACTTGCAAAATAAAGTTCCCCAAAGTGCTCAATGGAATTTCTTTCCTTTTCTTTCTTGAAGAACAAAGAAAGAAATAGGAGAACACCATGGCTATTCCTAGAAGAGCAAGACCAAATAATAAAGGGAGTATTAGTTTCAAGCTACGAGACAATCTTCGTTTCTTGGTCTCTTTAAACTTGCACTTGGGAAGCTTTAAATTAGCAACAGGGCTGCACAAATTAGTGTTGCCAACAACTGAAATAGCACTCGCATTTTTTAAAACACCTCCAGTTGGTACCACTCCCCAAAATTGATTGAATGATAAGTTCAGATTATTCAGGATTCTAAAGCCTTCCAAAAAATGTGGAATTTCACCCGAAAAATTATTGCGAGAAAGGTCTAGATCTTGAATCGCTCTCATTGAACTCATAGACAAAGGAAGGGACCCATTGAAGAAGTTTCCTTGCAAATGCAGGACTTCTAAACTCTCACAACCACCAAGGCTACTGGGGAGTTCTCCAGATAACATGTTATCAGAAATGTACAATTCACTTAGACTTTGAAAATTCCCAACCTCCGAGGGAAGGGAACCTGTGAAGAGGTTATTAGACAAGACCAAACCAACTGATAAGGAGGAGAGTCTAAAAACTTGTTTGGGTATTGTGCCATTAAGGAGATTATAAGAAAGATCCAAGAATTGCAACCCATGGCATTCCCCTAGGCTTGAAGGAATGCTGCCCTCAAGATAATTTCCATCCAACCGAAGATAGAATAACTTGGTTAAATTTCTTAAGGAAGACGGAATCTTTCCTGATAATTTGGTCATGCAAATTGCTAATCTTCCAATGTTTGAAAGTTTACCAATGTCAGAGGGGATGTTACCTGTGAAGCTATTATACGCCAAAAGCAATGATTCCAAGCTCACCAGGTTCCCTATCCCAGATGGGATACTTGCATATATTTGGTTATAATGAACCCAAAACATTTCAAGTTTGGTTGAGAGATTGGATATTGACATGGGCAATGTCCCTCCAAAATTGTTGTTGTCAATCATCAACACTTTTAACTGCGTGGCATTGGTCAAGCCCGAGAGAAAACTCAAGTCACCATCTTTCCCGCTTCCAATATTATTACTTTTAATGTTGAACACGAGGAGGTTGTGAAGCTTTCGGAGATTCGGTACCCGTCCGATTAGGTTGTTAAACCCAACGGAAAAAAGCCTCACACTTGTGACGTTGAATATTGAGGGAGGTATGGACCCAGCGAGTTGGTTAGAGCCGACGCTGAAGATTTCGAGATTGGGAAGACTTTTGCCAATATCTGATGGAATACTCCCTTCAATTTGGTTTGAGGGCGTGGAAAATGTAACAAGAGAAGAGAGGTTATAAATGGAGGAAGGGATGCTACCAGACAACTGATTTAACCCCAATGAGAAGAAGGTTAATTTTTCCAATTGGCCAAGAGAACTGGGGATGTTTCCCATCAAGTTATTACCAACAAGACTTAGTCTCTGGAGAGACGAAAGGTTACCCAAGGAAGGAGGGACCTGTCCCGTTACATTATTATAATTTAATGAAAATTGTTGCAGCTTTGACAGCAATCGAATTTCTGAAGGAATTTTACCCACCAACTTGTTGCGAGTGAAATTCACAAGGATAAGGTTGAAGCAATATGATATATTATATGGAAAACTGCCACTAAATGAGTTCGCGTCTAATCGCAATACCTGCAATCTACGCAAATTCCCAATTTGTAGAGGAATTTCATTGCTGAAGCTGTTGTTTTGCAGCCACAGCTCCCTTAGAAAACTTAGATTTCCAATGTTTGGGGATAGTTTCCCTACCAGATTTTGAGATTGCAGGTCCAGTTTAGTGACCCTTTGGCGATGTCGTCGACTGCACGTCACACCATGCCACATGCAAAAGTGCATTGATTCGTTCCAGGAGCTCATCACGTTGTAATTATGGAGATCTTGCTTTATTTGAGCTTTGATTGCTAGCAGCGTCAGCCTATCCGTCGCATTCCCTCCGAGTCCCAATTGCAGGGAGCTCCAACAGCAAACGAACACTGCACTGAAAAGCAAGTATATTAAGATCAATTTCAAAACCAAAACCCCCATTCCCGATCTGGTTAACTATATAACTAGAGAGAGAAGCAAAAAGAAATAGAAAGATGGGTGTTGAGTTGTGAATTTGGTGAGTTCCATTTGTTGCATGACAAGGAAATTTATATAAGGATATGATCATAGGAGCAACTTACACCACAGTTTCTGGTTCTTGAAATTCAAATATGATAAGGAATACTAGGACCTATTGTCTGGCACTTTCGGTACGCCAAGGACCAAGACCATTAAAGCACCTTGATTCCAGAAGCTGACTGGAAACATTTGGCAACCATCCAAAATGAAAAAGCAAATACATAGAACCCTATATTTTGGTCATATCAGACGTCATGCTGGTGTCACTTAATATGAAAGTTACCTTGCAGGACGACCCTAGCTATTAATAGAAATTTTCTCTGTCTCTACGTTTTCTAAGTGGCTGGACTGTGAGATTGCTGATTTTCTCATAGTTCCCCTAGAGTATATCATTGCAAGAAAGCTTGTTGTGGATGCAACCTTTTTAAAAATTGTAACAGTTACTAGTGAGATCAAGCTTTCTTAATTTTCAAACTTCATGGGGGCTCAAGACTCATAAGCATTGACTGAAAATTGTAACATGAAGGTTAAGTCCCCATTAAACACGTTGTCAGGGTCTCTTTCCTATAAACATCTCTAGCAAGAGAATTCCAAAACTGTAGACATATCCAGTTATTAACGCCTCACTTCCCATACCGTAGGTTATGGTTCTTGAAAATTCAAATATGCGAAGGAATAAGTCCAAGTAAATGATAACTTCACTAGCTTACTTCCACTATTGGGACCTATTGTCTGGCACTTTCGGTGCGCCAAGGACCAAGACTAATAAAGCACCTTGATTCTAGAAGCGGATTGGAAACATTTGGCAACCATCAAAAATGAAAAAACAAATACATGGAACCCTATATTTAGTTCACATCAGAAGTCACGCTGGCGTCACCTAATATGAAAGTTACACTAGCAGGGCAACCCTACCTATGAATGGAAATTTTTAAGTCTGTATGTTTTCTAAGGGGCCGGACTGTGAGATTGCTGATTTTCTCGTAGTTCCCCTAAAGTATCATTGCAGGAAAGCTTGTAGGATGCAACCGTTCTAAAAACTGCGACAATTACTAGCGAGATCAAGTCTTACTAATTTTTAAACTTCATGGGGGCTCAAGACTCAAGAGCATTGATTGAAAGTTGTAACATGAAGGTTTAAGTCCCCATTAAACACGTTGTCAGGGTCTCTTTCCTATAAACATCTCTAGCAAGAGAATTCCAAAACTGTAGACATATCCAGTTATTAACGCCTCACTTCCCATACCGTAGGTTATGGTTCTTGAAAATTCAAATATGTGGAGGAATAAGTCCAAGTAAATGATAACTTCACTAGCTTACTTCCACTATTGGGACCTATTGTCTGGCACTTTCGGTGCGCCAAGGACCAAGACTAATAAAGCACCTTGATTCTAGAAGCGGATTGGAAACATTTGGCAACCATCAAAAATGAAAAAACAAATACATGGAACCCTATATTTAGTTCACATCAGAAGTCACGCTGGCGTCACCTAATATGAAAGTTACACTAGCAGGGCAACCCTACCTATGAATGGAAATTTTTAAGTCTGTATGTTTTCTAAGGGGCCGGACTGTGAGATTGCTGATTTTCTCGTAGTTCCCCTAAAGTATCATTGCAGGAAAGCTTGTAGGATGCAACCGTTCTAAAAACTGCGACAATTACTAGCGAGATCAAGTCTTACTAATTTTTAAACTTCATGGGGGCTCAAGACTCAAGAGCATTGATTGAAAGTTGTAACATGAAGGTTTAAGTCCCCATTAAACACGTTGTCAGGGTCTCTTTCCTATAAACATCTCTAGCAAGAGAATTCCAAAACTGTAGACATATCCAGTTATTAATGCCTCACTTCCCATACCGTAGGTTATGGTTCTTGAAAATTCAAATATGTGAAGGAATAAGTCCAAGTAAATGATAACTTCACCAGCTTACTTCCACTATTGGGACCTATTGTCTGGCACTTTCGGTGCGCCAAGGACCAAGACTAATAAAGCACCTTGATTCTAGAAGCGGATTGGAAACATTTGGCAACCATCAAAAATGAAAAAACAAATACATGGAACCCTATATTTAGTTCACATCAGAAGTCACGCTGACGTCACCTAATATGAAAGTTACACTAGCAGGGCAACCCTACCTATGAATGGAAATTTTTAAGTCTGTATGTTTTCTAAGGGGCCGGACTGTGAGATTGCTGATTTTCTCGTAGTTCCCCTAAAGTATCATTGCAGGAAAGCTTGTAGGATGCAACCGTTCTAAAAACTGCGACAATTACTAGCGAGATCAAGTCTTACTAATTTTTAAACTTCATGGGGGCTCAAGACTCAAGAGCATTGATTGAAAGTTGTAACATGAAGATTTAAGTCCCCATTAAACACGTTGTCAGTGGGTCTCTTCCCTGTAAACATCTCTATCTAGAGAATTCCAAAACCATAGACACATCCAGTTATTAATGCCTCACTTCCCATACCATACTCTGCCATTCAAACATAAGAATATATTGTTAGCAAACTGAGAACAAAATAGTTGATTTATGCAAAATTTAAAAAGAAAAAAAAAGGATATTGTGGAGAGGATGTGAATATTTACCTAAAACCACATAACCAATCGTTCATGTTATTCCAGCAGAACTTATCTAATTTGTTGAAGCTTTTATAATGGTCAGTTGTGAGAGAAACCTTGCTAATCAAAGTCAGAAACATGTCCAGTCGACATGTTGTCCAAAAGAACAGTACTTGGCTTCAAATCACAATGAACTATTGGTGTTTCACAGTGATTATGAAGATAATCGACTAATCGAGAGCACAAGCAACATCAATGGCAATGCTGAGCGTTTGCAAAAGATTTAAACTCTTGGGTGCCTCTCTTGCTTCTTCAATATCAGTCGGTGGATACAGCCACTTCTCTAAGCTTGCTTTTTCCATGTACTCATAAACCAAGGCCTGATATCATTACTAAGAGAATCAACACTTGAACATGCAGTTATAACCTTGACGAGATTTCGATGCTTGATATTTCTCAAAGCCTCACATCCAGATATAAAACACTTTGCTGCTCCATGGCGTAACAAGTTAAACACCTTTACGGCAGCAACCAATGGAGCCGTATCATCAACATCGAGAACTCCCTTGTACACAACAAAACATCCAGCAAATCAAATTAGCCTCAGATAACCCATCGGTAGCTCTTAGCAGAGTAGCATATGAAACTTGTAAATAAGAGTTTGTTATTGTACTTAAAGAAATTTCTTTCCTTTCCTTTCTTGACGAACAAAGAAACTTGCAAATAAGTGTTTGAGTGTTTGGTGAATACACAAGACTATTTTACCCAACAAAAAACAAGAGAAAGAGAAAGAATACTTACCACAAGAATGAAGCATATCAATTAACATTCTATCAACTCTGAAATATGTACATGTATGGTCAACTGCAAAGCTGAGCATATAGCTGCTGAGTCCAGGAGGGGCTGGGATCCGACAATGAATATGTTCCATTTCTACCATTGCTTACGCACGTTAAGTTCAGCTGATTCCCTATCTGGCTCGACTGCAAGATTTGTGCATATATGCATATAAAGAACAATATGTCAGTACAAAACGAATTTATAGTACTAACAAAGTACATTGCAGAAGCAATTTCCTGACACAGAATTTTGCAAGTCATTTCTTAAATTACGTTTCTTTAAGGCATTAGACTAAACGGCATGCCAAACTAGAACAACTGAATGCAACCATGATCATATTAATAAGCAAGCACTTCTGTCTATCAAATATTAAGGCAGAAGTTAATATGCACAGAAAAGTACCGCATATTATCAGACAATAAATATTTTGTGACTTGCAATTCCATTTTGATGTAGGGACACAGCTCAAAAAATGACACCAGGAACAGTGGTTGTTTAGATTGACCCCTCGAAAAAGAGTAACCAAGCCAAGAGTATACCTGTCAAAATCATGATTTCTGTCAGAAAATGCCTGCATATACTGATACTACGCAAATACGAGGAAAATGAACCTTTATTTCCAATAACAAAACAACAAAGTACTGCCAACACATGCAATCCAAAACAGCAAAGTAGAAGCCGCTATCAACAAAGTGATCAATTAGTATTACACAGAGAATAGCTATAACACAATGCCTTCTCCAAACCATTCTGATGAGAAACAAGCAGATACAGAGCCTATTCGCAATGAAAATATTACAGGACACATGATATCTACATATCTACACAAAATCCAGTTCTCTGAATTGATAAAAAAAAATGTGCACACGTCAACTGTGAGCTCTGAAAGCATGCTTCCTAGTAAACCAAAAAGTGCACCAGAAGCACCAACAGAATACCATATTGAATAAAAAGAGCTGAAAGCAAACTCCCACCAAAACCAGACATGAGATATAGGAAACCAAATCAGAAAAACATTAGACTTTCAAACCAATTAGTTAAAACAGTTCATCAAAACCACTGTACATGATGTAGATCAACATCAAACTATTATTTTTTCAATCTTTTCAAATAGACGGCATCTTGAAACATTTCAAAATGAGGCGCCATGTCTACATGTACAGGATATCCAAAACAATATTTGTTCCCACAGATGTGATGGAAAACTGAAATAATCTCTCAGCTTCTGTGTCAAGCAATTTTATTCTGTCAAATGGAATACTATGTCTAAAACTAAAGTTTGAATCCCATCTTCGGTGTATAAACTCTTTTCTTTGCTCACCGCTGAATAAAACGTCCTCTTGTTTTCATCAAACCAAACAACATACCGGTGTAAGTTATAATGCAACCAGCACAACATGACCACTACTCTAGGATTACAATTCAATAAACAAATGCATAGAAATCCTCTGTAGATTAATTGCAAGGTAGCTAAAGCCATCCGGAAAGTGTTTCTCTTCTAGATTTATGAAAGAAGTTTTGCACTTGGTAACTAATTTATTATTCTACAACTTATGTCGTGTGCTTTATCCTTTACTACAAACACTTATGGATGTGGCCATACATGCATGATAACACATGCATGAATAAAAGACTCAGCATATTGGCAAGCACATGGAAAACTCCAGCACGTAACCACATACATGAGATCAGCCGCCATCCCTGGTGTTGATGAACCACTATCTGCACGTCTAGAGCACCCATCTTTTCTAATCTTCAGGATGAAAACACATGAGAAACAAGTTAGATATGCAACTGAGACCTATTGACCCTTATGGGGCATGTCTATAGTTCTTATTTCCAAACAGATGATAGCTCCCTCGCCCTTGTAGTGCTACTTTTAGCAGTTATAGACTTTGGATGATGCATACTGAAATGAGCACATTAAACAGCTTAAAAGAGTGACAAACAAGTCCTTTAAGAATGCACACCCGCTCTTACCAGAGATATTAAGACAAAACAATTTCCATTATCATGTACCATTGGCCTCACAGACCAAGGAAAGTTGAACGAAAACGAAAATTTTGAAACCAAGTCGCTAAAGAACACTAATGTAAAACTTTAACCCTATAACATACTACAGGGGACATGTTGATTAACATAGCATTTCTGATACGCCGACATCAAATAGACATCAAGCATGGCCTGAATGTCACTAAATACCTAAAACCCTCATTACCCCTCAAGCTTCATGCAGGTCAACTATTTTCTTTACACATATATCTAATATAACCAAAATTCCAAATCCACCAAGTCACAAAATTTGCCAAAAAATTTGTAAAAACATAACTTTCACAATTACTCTTGCCTAAAAAGTCTCAACCTTGATTGATCCCACTCTAATTTCACAAAAAAAAAAAAAAAAAAAAAACCAGTCAAACTATCCAACCCTCCTCGTCATTATTTCACCAAAAACACAAACAAAAGAAACTTACATGAAATGGGACCGCCACTGAGTCAGTTCCCCACAATCCACAACTAAAATTTTCCAAATTTCCACATGCGAGCACCCAACAAATCCCAAAACACAAATTTCAATCCAAAACTGCAAACCCCAACAATTTTAAACACAGAAACTAACAAAAGAGTGAAGCTTTACGTGGTTGAAGACGGCCCAAGAAGTGGGTTTTCCTTGAAGAGCTGAAAGGAGAGGCGATGAGATTTTCAACGGAAAGGACTCCGGATTCCTTCTACCAAATTCACAAGTTCGGATCCGGCCCTAGAAATTTGATCCAATCTATTATAGCTTTTATAGTGGCCTGTTTATAGTCGTTGGATCAAATTTCAATGACTAGGATCTTTGAACTTGGTGGATTTGGTGGAAGGGAGCCGTAGAGGATACTTTTCCATTTTCAACCACTCTCATTGCACCACGTGTCATTATCTATTAGTAATATCAGCTCAGATTTTTGTTTAAGTGTGAACTTTGTACGTTTTTTAGATATTTTTTGTTGTAAATTTTTTTAGGATTTTTTACCATGGGATTAATCCTGACCGTTGAATTTTTCAAAATTTTAATATCAAATGCGCCACAAAGTGCCACGTGGCACAACATCATCTTTTAAATTTCTTTTATCGTTTGAAATTTAATGGTCTAGATCAACAAACTATTGAAAATCCAACAGCTGTGGGGTGCCCAAATTGGAGCCATTTGGTTCACTTTGGTGCACGGGGTTAAGGTTAGCCTTCTGCTACTTGACGTCAGGCCTGTCGTTACTTATTGCCAACGGGCTACAAGGGTAGTTCAACGAGCTTCTTGGAGCCCACCAATTGCCTGCCGAATTTGGCACCGACGGACCATCATTTTTTTGGTCAAGGGCAATTTAACCCAATTGCCTGGTGGATTGGCAAGAAGTATGATGAGCATAGTAGAATTTTCAGCAATGGAGTATATATACACCTAAAATAGTCAAGAAGAAGCAGTATAGTGCCTTTTGTTTGAACTTATAATTTATACAAAAGTTTTATTCGAAATAATGTTATATTGTTAGATATTTTAAATGCAACATTGTCAAACCAATTTTTGGAACGACGGACTAGTTAATTTTAAGATCAATTTTAGAGCGACCCCTCATAAAGCTTTACTTATAGTTGTGGGTTGGGGTTTTTTTTTTTTTGGGGGGGGGGGGGGGGGGGGGGTGTGGTTGGGTTTCCCTTATTTTTGGGGCTAGCTACATGCACAGTAGACAAGCTACCTTATTTGGAGTTGACATCCTCTTCAGATTTTTGTTTTCGAAGTTCAAGAACTCGGATATCCAGGTAGTTAAAGAGAAGGAGATTTGAACTCGTGGTTTGTGTCAGGAAGATCAATAGAATGAGCTAATGAGAACCATATGATTTAAAATGAGTGGTTTGGATCTCTGTGTTTGTCGGCTTCGGACACAGAGATCCGACGAAGGCCTACCCTATTTGGTGCAATTCATCTAATGGGGAGCTTCATTGAATCACAATAATATGCAGGGGTACAAAATGATTGAAAGGAGCTGTCACGCCCCAATCCCGACACACGTCCAAGGATCAACACATGACGTCACCAAGTATCCGTATATCTAACATACCCCGCCTCCGGGATATGTACAAAGCATAACTCAAGATTCAAATTGCGTAGTAATTTTAGTATACTTTATGTTTGTATCTAAACTCCTTGTTAGACTGCCTACGTACCCTAAAGGGATGAAGCCATTCGTAGTTCACCATTTCAATAAACTCCTATCACCATTGCAAGTCATTACTACATACATGTAATCAGAATAACTAATAGAAACGGTATACTTTCTTTGTATAGCTTGTCTAGGCATATGAGACATATATATACATATATATATATATATAACTTCAAAACGTGAATCATCAACTTGATTTTGGTTTCAGTATAGGCATGCATATAGACATTTACACTTAATAGGACATCCATTGTATCATTTAAGCAAACAACATGATACGTATAAACGTGAAATACTTAATCGAAAAGTAACCACACCAAATTGGATCTGTCAACTATTGATATCTATACCAGCCATAATAAATTGATCTTGAACTCATAAATATGGTAATGTATTCAATTAGAGAATATGTATAATGTTTGATAATCCATTAATCTTAATCAAGGACCTAGTTCTCAGGCCATAGAATAAAATGCAATCCCTAAACTATAACATTCATATAATTATTCGTAACTAGTACACTAGCCCAACCATATCAATGATCCTTAATTATTATTATAGAAAAACCAAACTGTTTAGAATGAAATAAAGAACCAAAAATAAATCCACAGCCAAAACAAGAGTCATATAATACTCTAAAAATAGCATTGTCCAATCAAATATTCAGCATCTGCCGATGCCATGGGAAGAATAAAGAACCATTCAGTAGTTTTAGAACTCTAATTAGCTGCACAAACCTAGGCTGCAACACATACAATTTCAGCAATGTTCTTTTCAGTGCATAAAGGGTAGGACAAATATGGCACACAAAATATTCCAATGTATCTGGCCTCGATTATGGAATAACATTAATGCTTATAACACAAACCCAACCCTTAAATTTCTAAAGAGAACCGAATTGAGGTTAGGATTTCAATGTTCTTCCCTATACATGCAACCAATCATGACTACCCGGTTCCGATTCAACTCCTAAACAATACAAAATATCGAATTAAAATTGGAAACCATGAATTGACCCCAAAACTAAAAGTTATAACCTCGGGAAAATACTTACGCTAGAGGAGAGCCGACGAGGGGAGAATCATTATTTTCACTTGGGTCGAGCCAAATTCCTGCGGGATTGCCCGAAATCAGAGAAAAGTCGCCGGAACACGTGAATATGTTTGGACCTCGTTTTCTTTATGCAATGGTTTTCAAAGGGTGGGTATGGTAAGATTGAAGACGGCCTCGCTACGAAACTATAGCTTCCGACCTCATGTTATTTCGTTATCGTATGAGGAAATTATGATGAAAATAGTTTAGAAGGGATCCCGTGAGTGAAGGAGGAAGAAGAAGAAGAAAAGTTTCTTTCCCCCCTTCTCCCCTTTTCCCTTCTTTTCGTTTCTTCCCGATCCTTCTCTCATCTTTTCTTATTTTCATTTTTTTCTTTTTTTAAATTATTTTATTCTTTCATTAATATTTTATATCTAGTGTTATTATCTTTTCCATTACTTTAAATAAAATGATTTATACGGGTTTCGTAAAATCTTTCTTCTAGTTCTAATTTTTGCTATGCTTATGATTAGTCGTTCATAATAACAAGTGCTGTTAAAATATACTAATTAATATGTCACACGTGACCGACCAGTAAGTCAATGAAAGTACACATACTCGTTAAGGGCATTTTGATCGATTCACATTAAAAAAAAAAAAAAAAAATTACGGACAGATTGTAACAGGAGCCCTCCTAAAGTCACCTTTTGTCCAAATTATATGAGGGTGGTGGTGGTGGTTAGAATTAATTCAATTTAACCCCATACGTTTTGGAGGTTTTCATTTAATCTTGCAAACATGCATATTTAAGCCAAATTTATCCCACTAAAAATAAGTATATTTAGTTTTGTTAAGATGATATTAAAAGCAATATCTTACGAGAGTAAAATTTAAACTTAAATATAATAACACGATAGATATAATGCCTTACCAACCAACCTAATCTACATTTACGGAGTAAATATATGTATAGATGCAAACAAAATCATGAACATTATGATGCTCAAGTTGTGGGCATTTCTGTAATTGACGCTTAGGCGGGTTGTTCAGGTTGAGGGCAGTTGGCAAAGGGACAGAGGGTAGGGGAGAGGATTTTCGGCGATTTCTGTCTGGTTTGGGTTTAAGGGAGAAAGAGTAAGGGAGAAGTATTGGGTAGGCTGATCGATTATTCCATCCGGCTGTCGTCCTCACTACAAGAAGTTGCGAGAAAAGTAAGTCCGAATCGTGATGCATAGTTTACTTTCATTTTTTTAATTAATTTATGAATATACTTTCTTCATAACGAGTTTACTTCTTGGGCAGAGCAACCTTTAAAGGGAAGGGATACATTCAGACCAAAAAAGAAAAAGGAAGGGATACATCCGTTCTTTTCCCTGCTACAGGTATGGACCTTTGTTAAATTTGATTTTCCTACGCATTTTGTTTTGTTTAAGGTCAAAATTATTTATGAGTCATATTTATCATCGTCATGCATACAGGTCTGGATCTGAAGGTTGGGGGAGAGACATGGGAAGGGAGAGGAGGGTGAAGGGCTGAGAAGGCTGGGATGGGGGAAGATGACGTAAAAAAGAGGGGGGAGGTGGATGGCATGGTGAGAGAAAATCTGGGATGGGAGGGGGAAAGTATAGGGGAAATAGAGGGGAAAGATAGAATGGGAAGAAGGGAGGGAGGAGGAGGAGAAGGAGAAGTTGCCACCAGCCTCCAGCCTTAGCCAGATGCTGGCAACCATGGAGGAAACTAGGGTTTGTCGCTAAGCAAGAAGGTATCTAGAAAGAGTTTTCGTCCGATAGGGAGAGCATATATTTTGCTCTAGTACATTGATATTTATATATTGCATATTGAATATATTTTTAAGGGAACTTTAACGAAAAACTCTCGGTACTGTTTACTTTAACAAAAAATTACATTTTTACGCTAAAAAGTCAATCATGATACTATTCATTTTATCTTTTATTTTGTCCTTATCGTTAAAACTCAAAGTTTTCAATCTTTTTTCATCATTTTTTCTTATTTTCAATATATATGTGTTCATGCATACACAATTTATAAAATCACTATTTGAAATTTGTGATCAAAGAAACACAAGAAAATAGAGGCAAAAACTAGGGTTTTGAAAACTGAAAGTGAAAAAAATTAACAAAAAAAAAAGAACTAGGGTTTTTTCACGACTTCGAGCTGCGCCTTCGCTGAGCCGAAGCCAAGCCGAGCCAGCTGGCTCAGGCCTGGGCTTCCGTAGACTGCAGCAACCCTCTGTGTAGTATTGCGCGTGTAACGAAGCAGGCCTTCGGCCTTGGTTCCTGCTTGCCGGGCCTGTAGCCCTCCAGCCCACACCTGAAGTGAGCAAGCTTGTTGGGCTTCGATTTTCCCTCAGAAACCCCTATCTAAGCTTCGATTTTTATTTTCCCACTACAGTCGGCCGAATTTGAACTGAACCCAGTTTAGTTGTTCAATTTTTCAGCCCATGCAGTTTCTGAAATTTTTTAACCCAGTTTAAGTGCAAAACTGAAACTTTACATGTGAGAAAGTGGTAACGTTTACATCTCCTAAATGCGGGCAAGATCTTTTCTCTGACTATCAGACCAAAATATAGACTATCTTTTAATGTTCTGAAGCCCGGTTATGGGACCCGTTTATACAAAAATAACTCGGTGGGAGGGGAAGAAAGAAGATGATCTCATCTTCTTCTTTTTTTACTTTTTAAAAAACAAAAAAAAAATTATAGTATAATTTAGTAATGTAGAAATATAGCCATTTTAGAGACCACTTATTGAAATATGGCCTACATCTTCTAATTTTTATAAAACTAACCAAAATTAGAATTGAAATGACTTAAATTATCCTTAACTTTCTCTTCCACATTTTGAGGATATAATAGTACTTTTATATCAAATAATTTTATAGTAATTTTATAATAGTACTTTTATAGTAATTTTGTGGCTATAATTATCCTCAAAATGTACTTCTGGCAAACTCTTTTCCAGAAGAACCAGATCCTGCAGAGTTGAAAAGACTCGATTGCAGGATCTGATTCTTCTGTGAAAACACATTTTGAGGATATAATAGTACTTTTATATCAAGTTATGTTTATAATTGTCATAAACATAATAAAAAATAAAAAAAATAAAAAAAAGTATAATTCTATACGGGGTCTAAATAATGGTTATTTTTCTAAATTGTTTTAGATTTGTGGACCCAGTTATTTGTCACATCAGCACATAACAGAGTTTTTGACAGAATTGTGACTAAAGTACCACATTGATTTGCGACGCTCATTTTCAGAGACTACATTGATCGATTTTCAATTTCAGAAATCATCTTGATATAGTGGGTTAATTTCGAGAGCCATTTATAATAATAAAAAAACCCAATATTGTATATAAGAAAAGGTTTGAAAATATCCTAAACTTATAAAATATATGTTATTACATTCTAAAAAACCAAAATATCTCCAATCCAGAAAATTTCAAATTTGAAAATTTCGCTCCAATCCGAAATTTGTATAACCAAAATGGGAATATTGTTTCTAACCAATCCTTCCAAAACTCACCCATAATTAAATCTTTACATGAGATCTTAAAAATGGATTTCTAATTTCACGGCATGTGTACAAACTATGCATTTGCATAAAGTTAACTGAAAATGTGACTTTACCCCTTCAAACTCAATTTTTTTTACATAAAACCCACAATAATATATTTTTCTAACAAAAACCCAATGATTAGGCTCCATCTAAGCAAATTACCTAATCGAGATTGTGTGTCATATTTAATATTATTTGGATTCCCCAAATTACCCTCAGTTAAGTCATTATAGCAGTTTATGTTGATATCAAAATTAAAATGGAAAGCTTTTTTAATTTTCTTGTAACGTGTGTAATGGCTTTGAAATTTTAGTTGACGTAGGAATAAAAATTCAAAACGTTTTGAATTCAACAATAAATTTTCAGATTAATATACCCTATTGCGATTTAATAAAAACCATGCTTTTGTTTTCTTTAAAACAAAAGGGGTAAAAAATGATGTGTCTAGTATGTTTTGTTTTATTTTTCGAACATCAATGTACCTATTTTTTTTTGTTTTGAAAAGATTAGTGTACCTACTTAGTACTAATAGTTTTGGTCATTTTGAAAAATAATGCACCTGTTATTAAATTCTTAAATCTGGAAAATATAGGTAAATTAATTTATGTAGGTAAATTAGTATTAGATTTCATACATGTTTAACATGGATCCTGAGCCTCTATTAGGTGGCATATTGTTAATATTTCTCATATAAAATGTATTTATCATTTAAATTAGTGAATCTACAAAATATAGGTAAATTAATTTGTATAGGTAAATTAGTATAATATTTCATACATGTTTGTCATGCATCCCGAGCCTCTATTAGTAGGCATATTATTGTTATTTCTCATATAAATATACTTATTAGGCAAACTATTGATGTTTCTCATATAAAATATATTTTATTATTTACATTAGTGAATCTACAAACTATAGGTAAATTAGTATAATATTTCATACATGTTTATCATGCATTCTGAGCCTTTATTAGTAGGCATATTATCGATATTTCTCATATAAATACACTTATTAGGCATACTATTGATATTTCTTAGATAAATATACTTATTATTTAATCAACAAAATATAGGTAAATTTGTTGGTATAATATATTAACAATATAGGAGCTTGTTGCTCATCATAATTAGGGTGAGTTATGATAACCTTTATTGACTTAATTAGGGAGTTGTGGCATAAGTTGTAAATATATTGTAACAATAGGTCACTTTTTTGCTTACATGTCAGTTTGTTTGAAAATTGGGTTTTATTTAGAGATTTAAATTTATATGGGTTTTTGTTTATGAAATGTAATTTGTTTGGGCTTATATCTAAAGAACCCTAAAGTTAATTATCACTTAAAATAGTCATACGTCTTGACTTTATCATGCACGAAATTGACATGGGTTGGTATCACATCTTAGGCAAATAAATAAGGTTCATAAGTCTCCAGGCTTAAGTACTTAAATAAGAGAGTGCAACATGACATATATTGGAATATGTCATGGGAATAATCTAGTCAAAAGTTTTGGTAAGCGCGGTATGGTGGTAGGTTGTTCTCAATTATAACTTCAATTAAACCTTGGGTTGCCTCTATATTAGGACCGGCATGAAAAGTTGAAAACCAAGAAATCGAGAAACCGAATCATAACAAAAAACAACTCATAAAAACCAAGTTTACCAAAAAATTGAACTTTATTCTAAGAACTGAGAACCGATTCAGATCGGTTCCACACTTCTTCTCTCTCATTTTGTCTTAGCCCCCCCCCCCCCCCAACAAAAAAAAAAAAACATTCTCACCCTATCCCCCCACTTCCTTCTCTCCTAGTTCTTCTTCCTCTTTTTTGTGAGCGAAACGCGTGGCAAGAGAGCTAGATCGACTCGCAATCTATCGAAAGGTGAACGAACAATTGACGTGCTTTCTCTTTCTTCTCTTTGCTTACACGTCATAAATCTTACATGGCATGAACTTCGCAAGTTTGTTGTTTGCAGGGTTATTGTTGAAATAGTAGGATCAAGAAGAAGAATATATAAAATTTTGGTTCAAAATCAGAAACTGGTCAAATCAAACTGGAATAGTTGTAAAACGAATGGTGCGCTTTATAAATAATTTTTAATATAACAGAACCGAACTGAACTGGTTAAATTAATTTAATTTCAGTTTCAATTCAAGGAGTAAACTAGATCAAATCAGATCATCCCACCCCCACTTAATACAGAGGATAGAGATTTACATGATACCAAAACACGTAATGTGGCGGTTTTAAACCGATTATGTGTTAACATGTTACGTCTAATGATTAGTTTGAGTCATCATCCCATGACATCCCTGCTTCATAGAGAGAGTTTTTCTTCGTCTTGGTTAAAAAAAACTTTGTTTTATCATTGCCCTTGGACTTCGAACTTAATCTTCTTATTTTTCTTTCTGAAAAAGAGGTAATGCTATGGAGACTTTGTAAACTAAATGACATAAAAGTTGATAATTAGATTATTCCTTAAGTGTTGATTAACGTGCTTATTTCTTATTGGTGACACATCATTTAGTTTGAAAATTTAGTCTACCTACTATTACCCCCAAAAAAATTACAACCACGTTAATTTTTGCTCCACTTTGGCGGAATTCTATCTATTCTGTCAAATTGACTTTAAATATGATGACATGTAAGGGTATACTATATTTTCCGCCTAATTAGTACTTTCAGATGAAAGCAGATCATCTCCAAATCTAGACATCCAGAGCCCAAGGATCCAATAATCTTGGCCTTTAAAATTGGATCCTATTGCCAAAAGCAAAGAACTTATTGAAAACTTTTGAAAATTACAATACTTTTTCACCGAAAGATCAAATTTTAAAGACTATAATTAATTGATCTTTGGGTTTCGGATGTCTAGACCTGGAGAGGATCTACTTCCCCTTCAGACCACTAAAGCTGTCAGAACAGCCAACCAGAAGCTACCACGTGGTCCCTTCCCACGTCCTCAACTCCCACGCTTTTTTTCTTAATCTCCAAGCCGGCTTTGCAAGCTTCGAAGGTCTGGAGCTCCTCCAATGGGAGATTGGAGATGATAGGCTCCAAAAGCTCTATGTTGACTTTTGAAACGTGATGATACGTCGGGGGCAGAGGTAGAAGACAAAGGCTTTCGATTCGTTCTCGAAATTCTAGGAAATAAATTGCTTGATGCCGCCATCGTTGTCACCACTTATCCTCCCTCTTCTCTATGAATTAAAACTACAAATTAAGAGCTAGCATATGAGATTTGATTTGATGGGTTGAGATTTGCAAGCAGTTCGCAAGGTCTCCAACATCTCCTTGGGCGAGATCCAAGCTTTGCAGTTTGCACCTCCTTAAAACCATCTCCGATAAAGCTTAAAATTTCCTCCAAACCATCTTCAAACATTAGGTTAAAATAAGTCTTGAGGAAAAAATATATATTTTTAGGCTAGATTTCTCTTAGAAATTAAACCTAACTTAAATTATTTTGAACCCACCAAATTGTTATATTTCAAACTTTTTTATTTTATTTTTTTACTTATAATCCAACGGTTGTGATTTAATAAGATCAAGCCTAAAGGTAAAAAAAGATTTAATGGCCCAAAATTAAATCTAACGTCTAAAATAATTTCACTTAAAACTTTATAATACCTAAGTATTTGTATGATTTTTAATTATTTACCAAATTTTAAATATTTTTATATTAAAATGTTGGCTAAAATCATTATTTAATAATTGTTGGCTAAAATTTTAAGTCATAACCATTGACGGAGAAAAACGGTTTCTGAGTTATAACTTAAAATTTTTTGGCTTAAATTCTTAAGATCCCCATGAGTTGGAGATGGTCTAAAAAACATAAGAGCTTTGCGATTAGACCTGACATCCTTGTCGTGCTTTTCATGTTCGTATCGTTTTCATGACATACCTTATATTTTAATAGGTCGTGTCGTGTAACACCCGTTAATATAAACGGGTAATATGACCCGATCCGAAATTGACCCGTTAGTATTATCAGGTAATATGACTCGACTAGACCCGTTAAAGAAAATATATTTTAAATCAATAATTAATGAAAATGAAAACATAATTTGACAAAAAAAAAATGAAAAACATAATACTAAATTAGTATATGCATACTATATCGTTACAAAAATATTACTTCACAACATAAAAATAAAAAAATAAAATAAAATAACATTTGTCTTTCAAGTATTACATACTCCAAAATAAGAGCCTAATGAAAACATTAGTACATCATGAGTGTTTATATGGGATTTCACATGTTTCGGACTTGTACATTCATGATTATAAACTTTGTTTATTTTGAACTCCCTTAAAAATAATATTCATGAGGGTTTGTGACACACCCCTACCCGGAATGTTTACTAGGACTCTGAATCGAGCAGTGCTGGCCGATACCTGGAAGGTGACGAAGCCATAAAGTGTAGTGATGTAGAAAATGTGAATAAATTTAAATCTAAAAGTGCCTAAAAACAAGAGTGCGCTGGTAAGCGGGAATGAACTCATTTCACACGTGATGTCAGAGCATAAGTAATGTACAGTAGAGTGAATTGAGAATTATACCATCAGAGGTAGTCTCCAATACCAGATTTTCCAAGCATCCTCATTGATTCAAAAGTTCAGCTGCTAAACCTAGAGGGACGAAAATCAAAGGTGACTGGGCCTAAAAATAAAAGTTTTATAAAAACCTTTTCGAAAACATAATAACCTCTCGCTGTAAAAGAAGTATAGTTTCCAAAATATAAATACTACATATAGTATAAAAAAGCTTACCAAATGTAGCAATATTTCAAGGATGCCATACGTCACAACTTTCGTAAATGAGTATATGACATCTGTAATCACATATTTTTGCATAATTAAACATATCACATCGAATGCTCATTGACAGATGCTGACACACGAGTTCATGTAGAGATATTCTGACATGAACATGATTGTGTGTAATAATGATATATGCTCTAGTACTACAATCACATGAAGATTGGCGCTATGTGCAACACATACGAGTCGGAGTTGCCTATTGCAACCTATACGACAGGACTGGCACCTACAATGGAACCAAAGTGTGCGTACGATGCGATGTGCACATACACGTGAAAGACTAGTCATGACCGGGCAAGTACTAACACCGGTGCAACAATGTTGAGCAAATAACTTAAATATAATCATGCCATAACAATTCAACAATTCTAGTCGATATATATTAATATTCATGACCATAAATATGATTAAGGCATCCGTAAGATTTATAATGCTTTCTTAATTCTCTCTATTACGTCATTTCCTATAGACATTAATTTACTTACGGCAATCATATAGAAAATTCATGATTAGATGTATATATGGAAACTTAAATAAATATGTATATACCAAAGAAAAGACCCACTCACATATCATGTCGTCGAGTCGAATCTGCCTTGTAGCATTGAGAGTCCTTGCAATGTGTTTCGCCTAGAAACAAAACCATTTATGTAAATACGTAACGTCCTAACGTATAAACGCGTTTTCATACAAACTACAGCTACTAAAGGAACTATTTTAAAATGATTGAATTTTGGAAAACGAAAGGCGGATTCGGGTCTGGCATGTCAAGAAACCTGAGGAGAGACCTCGGGTTCTTCCACGTGCCGTACGTGCCGACCATTCCACACATCCACACGCACCCATGCGCTAGCGAGTACGTACATACTCGCCTTCCTCATGAGTTCCTGCAATTTTGCAGGTTTTTGGTCCAACTTCCAGAGCTCCAAACGAGCTCATTTCTCAGCCAAAATCAATAATTCAAGAACCAAATAAAAGCTAGGAATGTGAGGAACATAGATATACCATTTAAGGCTAAGGCAAGGTCGGCGTTGATCGAAAAAATGGCATGAATATGGCTTGATGGCCACGGTTCTCCTCGAAAATGAGTTTCTTTCCCCGAATCGTTTCTGTATGAAACCCCACCAAAACAGATATCTAGCGTCAACATTACTTCTGAATCATTACATGAGAGAGGGCAGAGATGATCTAAGGCTTACCTTGATCGTAGAACTGGAAATCTCGCTGAAGTTCGCGAGATTGGGTGGCGGTGGTGCAGTACATCTGTGGACCGAGAAGCAAAAAAATGAGAGAGAGTTTGTAAGAAAAGATGGCGAGCTGAATGACGAGGTGGTGTGATCTGGCTCGCCAGAATGGCCATCGCCGTGAGTGGCTGGCGGTGGTGTTGGCCACTGCAACCTCTCTGTTTCACCAAGAGAGAAGAAAGTTAAGAAGAGAGGTCAAGAAAAGATAAAGGGGAATGAATGAGAACAGAAGAGAGAGAGAGACAGAGACAGAGTGGTGGTGACCTGAGGACTCGTCAAAGTACACATTTAACGGCGATGGGGATCGTTGCCCTGCGTTGCACAGAGAGCACAGAGAAATAAAGAAGACGGAGTTGAGAGAGGAGAGGGCTGAGAGGGTTAGAGGGAGAAAATAGTGATGTGGCAGTCATCTAGTGGAGGAGTGGGATGAGTGAGATTTGACAAAAAAATGAGAGAGTGTCCCGAGAGATAGGAAGACACGGGAGAGGTGAAGGAATGGGGTGTGGGCCCCACATGTCACAAAATAATACCAAATATCTCTAAGCATGAAATTACCAATTTGCCCTCCGTATTCAATGTTTTGTAAAATATTCATCGTAACTTCAAATTCGATTCTGCTTACGCCTACACGTTCGTATCGTTGAGTACTTCAAGAATATACTGAAATAGTAGCTTGTACACGTCATGAAAAGATGGTCAACGAAAGTCAACATCCTCGTCTATAAGGCCGTTTTCATTAATTCACTCATTTAAAATTTATAAAATTGTAAAATTAGGAACGTATCATCACAGTTTTATGGTTTTAAAAATTCAAACGATGATGCACCCATCTTCAAAGCTTAGAGAATGCGATCACAAGCGTTTGCATATTTTGTCGTATTTGTTAATTATTATAATATTTTTAATGTATTTAGTATTTTTAAATTACTTGATATTTTTATTTTTAATGTGTTTTATAATTTTTTTAATCTCACTCTTTGCCTATAATATACTATAAAATTTAAATAAATAAATAAAATTTTAAATTTTAAATTTATATAAATAATACAAGAATACACATTTAATATACAATATATACACACACATTATGGCTATTGTAGTTTATAGTAAGTTTTTTTAGTAGTTTAAAAAAATTAAAATCATCAAAATAATTTTTTCCTTAATGTGCCAAAAATAGTTACTTGCGTGTCATTCTCGTGTAAACTTATTAAGGACCCGTTATTAACTGGTTCTTATTGTGTGACCCGATAACGACCCGATTAATTATCGTGTCGACCCAAAACCCATTATTTTCGTGTCGTGTTAATGGATCATGTAAGAAATTACCAAGTCTATTTGAAATTAGATTTGGGATGGTCTTAAAAAAATATTTTATTTCATAATTCGAGTCCATGATACATTATGATTCTGTCGACTGTAAAAACATCCTACATATTTGCATATCAACAAAGCCAGTCCATTTTTTCATTTGAGAGCTTCTAGACCCACTTCATTGTTTTATTTTTCCACCCACCTTAAAGAGTAAAAAAACTAAAAAATTATTTCCCCACCAACTTTTATTCCCAAATAACCTTTAATATATATATATATATGTATGTATGTATGTATATATATATGTATGTATATGTGTATGTGTGTGTGTATATAAACACACACACACACAAATATATGAAATTATACATTTGTGCGAATAAGAACATAAGTATGCGAATTCAAATTAAAAAGTTTGATGGCAAAAGCTGTGCTAATACTAATCGTAATATAGTAGGCAAAATCAAATATAAATTCAATGCCACCAAGGTATGCAAATCCAAATGGAAAACCACAAAGGTATTCAAATTTAAAAGAAAAACTTCTACAACGACAAATTCAAATGCACAATGCGGCAAATTCAAATGGCCAACACCCAAAATTATTCTTCTACCTCTTCAATAGAAATATAATCTTCAACCTCTTCCATAGAAGCGTCAACTTTTACCTCTTCAATGAAATAGTTATCTTCTAAGTCCATTATTATTATTTTTTTTGTTGTTGTTGCTTTCTCTAAAGGAAAAGAGATGGAAAGATGAGTTGCGGTTTAAGGTAGACAAATCGTCTTTAAACAGAGCGTGGGAGTTATCACGCCCAACTGTTTGTTATAAAAGAAATAACACAAAAGACGATAATTAATGTCCATATCAGTCATTTGAAATTAGAAAATTCATTCAAATGTGGGTGGCAAGATAACATCACTCATTCATTTTTTTAATTAATAAATTAAGATGGAATTTGACAGATACACCCATCTCATTTTTGCCATATGGACGCGCGTCAACAAATTTGATGGAATAGACAAAACACCACTAAAGTGGAACAAAAATTGAGTTCAAGAGTATACAGCAGTGATACTTTTGTTCCACAGAGGAAATGAAATTAAGTTTGAGTTTCAGAGCATTGCAAAAAATAAGCCTTAAAGTGAATTGATGAGGAACTCCTTCTCAATCATAAGGAACAAGCTCCTCTCAATTACATATAGCGACATGAATTGCAAAAAATTTAGGAGTAGCTCTTTATTCTTGCCTTCCAAATGTCATCCCCTCAAGATGGTCTAATAAACATTGGGTAATGCTAGGGAGACTACATTTTTAAACTAAATTTGAAATCTAAATGATTTGTCACAAATAAGAAATAAGCACGTTAATTTAATTAACACTTAAGTAATAATCCAATCATCAACTTTCATGTCATTTAGTTCACAAATCTAGTCCAATAATAAAAAAAAAGTTCACAAAATTTAGTCCACAAATTTAGGATACAAACTTTCTTCTAGTTTAGGAATGTTGTCACTTAGTGTAATGCTATTCTTCTTTATTTGTAAGTGAGAGTTTTAGGTTCGAATTTCGTAGATGATGAGTTCGTTACCAATTTAGGACTCATTTGAAAATGCCTTTAAAATGACTGAAATCGTTTTTAGTCATTTATGCAAGAAGCACCAGTTATGTGATTCTTCGAGAAAACATTTTAAGTGTTTTTTCAGGATTTACTTGCATTTTTATTAAGAACTGGTTCCCAAAATATTTTCACAAAAAATGCTTTTAATCATTTTAAAAACACTTTCAAACGAACTCTTATTTTTCAAATTTAATATAAATATATTATTGTATAAAAGAAAAGGGCCAGGTGGAGGAGGAGCAGCTCAAAAGATAGTGGAAAGAGGGCCAAACCAGGCTTTGAAAGCGTACGGGGATGGAAGAGGATGCTCTCATCCAATTCCCAACATTTGATGATGTGTTACAAGAAAGTTTCTTATCTCATTAGTGTTTGTCCAAACTTTGGATAGGGACATTGAGGTGCCTTTCCCTATCATTTTTTAATGATGTATCATTTCATACTTTAGGTTAACGGCATTTCCGCCCCTCTTTCCAAAGTTCTTTTGTTAAAGTGTAGGATACTTCCCCACTTAAGACAAACGTGGTACAAATTACACTATAAAAATATTAAACGACAAAGAAAAGTGTACCTTTTTAATTTGTCTATTTTTTAATAATTTCTTTTTATTGTTCATCTTTAAAAGTGATGTCAAAACTGTCAGATAGACATATAATAATAAATATGGCAGCAATCTCTCTCCAATCGAGCTTCAATTTCTTACTTGTCTTGAATCAATTGAAGGCAGAGCCTTCTACTATCAAATTTGACACTAGCTATCAAATTTATTTTTATAATTCTTCAATGAAGGTGATGCAATATATAATAAATTTTGGATGTTTTAAGTATTAGATTGGTTGCCTTAATAATTGGACTCTACAAAAAGATGGAAAAAAAAAATTATAGAATGATATTATTATTTAAAATATTAGTGAAACAAAAAATTGTACAAAATGTCAAATTGCCACATAAGTGATCAAATATTATTTTGATGTTTTAAATTTGACATCTTCTTTAGAGATGCTGTTAACACCCAATTTAAAATGAGTTCACCTATTTAATTAAAAAAAATTATGACTAAACATCCCATATTACCCTTTTAACTTTAAGTTCACCCAACCAATCTTAACTCACCCAACCATGAAATCTGAACCCTTCTGCCTCAACCCTTTTAACCTTATGACGACTCCATGTTCGATAAGAACAAGCTTCCTTGTCCTATCTCATTCGCCTCTTTCTTTCGCTTTGCAATTTGCAACTGGCAGATTGAAGTTGAGGAAACCTAACTCAAATTGCATTGCTAAATATCGTGATCAACGACTACGATGCTTCCTGAAACAGTGACGCCTTCGTAGAGTACGTCCTTTTACCGTCAAAGTGACGCCTTCGTAGAATACATCTTTTAAAATTGACAATGTCATACCTCATCTTACAAATTTGTGTCAATGTTATACCTTCCGTTAGCTTGGCCGTTTATTTCTCAGTTAAATGCTAATGTGTCTTGATCCAGGACCCATTTTTTATTAAAAACTAAAAAAAATCATTTAATATTTTTTAAATATTAAAATAATAAATAAAAGTTATTAAAAAAAAAAAAACCAACATCACAACATCAGTTCGTCTCCTTCCCCCTTCTCTCTCTTCTCCCCATCTTCATCTTCTTCTCCCTTCCTGCAACTGCAACCCAGAAAAAAAGAAGAGAAAAAAAAAACAATTTGTTTTCCCTGCTCCCCACCCCTTCTTCTCCCCGCACCCACTCTCCGCATCCACCCTCTGCACCCATTACCTGCAATCCAAAAAAAAAAAAAAACCCAGACCCGTTGAGGTGGAATCGGGAAACCTTCGCTAGGCCGATTTTGAATGTTGAGAACCTGGGTGCGGAGAAAATGGGGGGGATAGACGAACTGGGTTTTTTTTTTTCCTTCTCTCTTCTTCTTCTTGTTTTTCTTCTGCAGGGTGGGTATGGGGGGGGGGGGGGTGCGAACTGAGTTTTCCCTTTTTTTTTTTTTTTTTTTTTCCCTTCTTCTTCTTCTTCCTCGCTCGGGGGGGTGGGGGGGGGGGGCGCGGATGAACTGGTTTTTTGTTTTTTTTGTTTTTTGGTCCTTCTCTCTTCTTCTTCTTCTTCTTCTTCTTGTTTTTCTTTTGCGAGTTTCCCTTTTTTTTTTTTTTTCCTTCTTCTTTTTCTTCCTCTTCTTCTTTTTTCTTCTTCTTCCTCTTCTTCTTCCTTCGGGTTGGGTTAGGGTTGGTGTTTTTTTTTTTTTCCCCTTCTTCTTCCTCCTCTTTCTTTTTGGGATGCAGGAGGTTGGGTTTGTGATGGTGGGGAGGGGGGACGAACTGGGTTTGGTTTGGGTTTTTTTTTTTTTTTTTTTTCCCTTCTTTCTCCTTCTTCTTTCTGGGTTGCAGGAAGATGGGGAAGAGAGAGAGGAGGGAGGGACGAAAGGGAACTTTCTTTTTATATTTTTATGTACTTTTTATTATTATTGTAATATTTAAATAATATTAATTTTTATGTACTTTTTTTATTATTGTAATATTTAAATAATATTAAATGATATTTT